TCATATTTTGCAGTTGGGTAAGGTTCTTGAAGAATGTGGTGAATATGTTGAATATGAAGCGTACAAAGGATGGTACATCGAAGACCATCCCAGTGACGAAACCAAAACTAAGTGATCGATTGTCTGTACAACGTTCCTGTATATTTGACCTGCTTATTGAGGTGCACTTTATGATTACATTTCTGTAGAACATTTTACTTTTATTGAAAAAAGTTTTTTGGGAGCCATTTTAAGTTTCTTAGATGTTATATTAAAGTAAGTAGTAAAACGAACCTTACATTTTGTTGTGATGACTATTTTTCCATTTCAGTTGGCTGGTGATAATGCTAAGTTTTTTACAAAAACGTCTTCGTCATCATCATATTTTAAACGACTGCATGAATGCTGCAGTGAAATAAGAGTTTCTGTAAATGCCCTTCGTGGTATGCTCTTTTTTTTTTTGTTTGTTTGTATTATAATTCTGATCAGACCAGCTTTTCGTATTTTCAACCGAAGCTTATGGTACGAGTATATTGAATAGCGGCTTAATTTGGAGCATTTAAAAATATCGGCGGTACCTGTTCGTGAGTGCCAAAGATTGATATTATTTCAGAATTGATAAACACTCTTCAAGAATTAGCGCCCCGTTACGATTTTGACGTGAGTACTCCTGGTAATGGATTTAGGTAACTAATTTAATAAACTTGTACTGGAGCTTTTAATAAGCAATTGTAGCGTATCATTTACTGCCAGCTTGTTAAAGACAATGAGGTTCTTGGTTTAGGTCTTTAATTTGCATCGTTGATATCGTTATTTTCCATCTGATATCGCTTTTGCGCTCGTGCAGTGAAAAGCGGTATATGCTTATGTTTCGGTCTTCCTATTATTGCAAGGAAATAGAAGCGTATGCTGCTGTACTCAGATTTTTCGTTCTTTCATTGCAGCAGGTTCTTTAATTTTTTCTTAAATTTTGTTTCTTATCGGATTACCTAGCCTATTTGTTAGGTCTATTTTGTAAATTCAGTTTTAATTGTGAGAGAAGATTTCTCAGTCGATTGAAGGTCATTATTGTTTCTTGTGTTTGAGACCCTTGCTACAAGAACTAGTTTTGAAATTTTTGACTTATTTTCTCTAATCATTTCCCGGACTTTTCTTACAAATAGAAATTGGCTTTTTTATTTGCAATTACATTTGGCTCTGTCTTATGAAGCCAGTCTTTGCAGCTTTACTAGTTTTGGAGGCATTGAAAAATTGTAAGCACCATTGGGCACGAAGAATTGGGAGAAGGAGAAATTTAAGTTATCAAAAAGTATTTGATGAAAATGAATTTTACAGAAGAAGGTTCCAGATCCTTATGAGTATTCCCACATTAGGGAAGAATTACATACTTTCTTTATAGGTTGTGTCGACAACTAACGAGTTAGCGGAAAATTCGCTTTTTCCACCTCTTAATGATGATTATTCTAAGCACAAAAAACTTTTAAAAGGAATAGAAGCCCTTGACGCCTCTTGTTTTTATGGTCGGGCACTGGGCTTCCAAGTAAATCTTCTTTTCTGTTTTTTAATTAGATGTATAGGTTTTTGTGCCAAATCTTCATACATATTTAGATTTTTTTAACTTTTAGTATGCCCCTTCAGTGGGTAGGATATTCCGATTCATAGGAGTTGTTTTGGCGACGTACAGTTTATCGTGGGAAAAGGGTTATGGGCCTTTAGGCTCGTTATTGAACACAGGTCGTTTTATTTTGAGTCCTGAACAGAGGGCAAGTCGTATTTTGAAGGCAAGCTGCAGCGCTTTTTTATTCTCCTTACCGGCATTGTTTTAGCTGTTTGACTTGATTTTTCATACCTTTTACTGCTGTTTGATTAGCACTTCCTTAAATTTAGGTGACGCAGGAAGCTGACATTGACTTCTGTAAAGGCTTCTGGAACCTCTCGGAATTTGGAAATGTGAGTTTTTCCTTATATGCATTTTGGAATCGGTGTTTCGAACGTATCGTTTAGAGTTTACTGGTCATGGTTGAGAACATGATGAGTAGTGTGATCTGAACTGGATCATTTAAGAGCAGTTTTGGCTTGTATGATATGAATAATCTGTTTGCATTTAGCATGTGCCTCGCTTCTTTTGTCCAAATATGGCTGTGAACGACGAAAGTGTAATACCTATTGATGAGTTAGTAACGTTAGAGTCAGTCTCAGGAGAAAGATTGGTGATTTCCCCTCCTAATGCTCATACGGGTGCGCGTCCTGTACGGGTCCGAATAATGTCGTATTCACACCGACGGGATTTGGTAAACTTATTTTCTAATGATCAGCGAATTATTATGCTTGGCGGGGTTTGTAGCGAGTTGAAAGTACTGCGGAATTAATTTTGCAGAAAGCCTCAAGCGGAGCATCTGATCGACAGCCGGCTTCTCCGTATTTACTTCTGCACTGTCATGGTGGAGGTTTTGTAGCAACGTCCTCAAAGTCTCACGAGGTAAATTCAAAAACGCAGGTGGTTAACTAAGATAAGATAGTATTTCCAGTTGAGCTCTTATCCAAACCAAAGTTTGAAATCTTTATATGGTTGTTGTTTGAAGACTTACTTGCGTTCATGGGCAAAATCTTTGGATTGCACAATTGTTTCTGTTGATTATTCATTGGCCCCAGAAGATCCTTTTCCGCGGCCGACAGAAGAAGTGCTATATGCATATGCTTATATAATCAACAACCCAAATAAATTTGGTTTGTGTTTTAGAATTAGCATATTTGATAGAAAATTTCAGAGATATTTTTCTTTTATTGTAGGGTGGACTGGAGGAAAAATATGCTTGGTTGGTGATTCAGCTGGGGGCAATTTGGTCACTTCTGTTAGTATACGCCTTATACAGCTTGGAGTGAAAAGAAGGCCTGATGGGCTTATGTTGATTTACACGCCATTCCTTTTCCAGGTTGTTTAAAAGGATTGGATAGACTTATGCGTCTTACATTTATTTCATGAAAAAAATTTTTTTTTCAGTTTCTTCCTTCTCCTTCGCGCCTTCTTAGCTTCTTTGACCCGCTCTTGCACATGGGTGTTGTTTTACGTTGCACAGCAGGTATATAATCACTTGCATTTTTAGTTCTTTTAAATTCTGTTTTCATTTTGGCATAGTCATCTGCCGTTTTTCTGCTGTAGCCTATACAAGGGGATATGCTTCGGAAGTAGCTCCCACAGAGCTTCCAAACCGGGAAAATGTAAGGCATAAAAGTCTTCAAGAATACGTAGACGAAGTGCAGAAAGTACAGAGCAACAGGATTTTTAATCTTGAAGTAGGTTTAAGAATGTATAGTCATACTTTCCAGTTATTGAAAGCATCGTGAGCATTTGGAGTGGGTGTCTCGGTGAATTCAAACGTGTTTAAGTGTTGTTTTTGAAAATTCGTTGTTTTTCCAGGATTCGTCAATCTTATCGCTTGTCAATCTTTCACAAAACGGGTGTAATGAAGCAAGGCACTCAAAAAGTGGTTTTTCAAAGGCAAAAGATGACAAATTATCGGAGCGCGAGCAACAAGAAAGCTCTGGTGAAGAGGAAGAAGATGTTGTAGAACATGAGGCTTCTATTTCGGGAATTGAGGTTTATCTGCATCTTTGGAAATATTCTTAAATTTATTTTTGGTAAGCAACATTAACTTAATTTTAGGTAATGTCGGATACACACCGTATTATGCTTCATTTGCCTTCGAGTATTTGTGATCGTCGTTTGTTAGATTATCTGAAAGATCATCCTATAACGAAGGAGTATGTGGTTTTGAACTAACAGATAGCATGTTTCATTCTTGTCTATTTTTGTACCATGATTTGTTTCGTTAATTGTTTCAGTAATTTGTAGTCACTATGCTTTAGTTCGCTCATTCCAATCGATGAACTTGAGAATGATCTTCCTAAGGATCCTAAGGTCCCTCCAAATAGTAACAAAGACTCAAATCCGACTCTTTCGACCAAATCTTCTAGCTCTGCCGAATTAAATTCGCCAGCGACAGCCGTTGAGTCAAAAGAAATGCGGCCCACAGCAGCGACCTCTACGGTTGTTCCTTGTCGCACGCTTGTTGCATCTATCAGTAGCCAAAGCTTAGCCGCGGCTTCAAGGCAAATGGTAATCTTGAAATGTAGTAGTTAAAATGTTTTCCTGTGCATTTCTGATTACGGTTAGTATTGTCTTTAGAACATTTCAGATGAACGTACGGACCTTAAGCCACAGTTTGGCAGACACGGCTGTCACAGCGGCTGGACATGCAATGGACAACTTGTCCGGGTGGCTTGATACAAGCGCACCAGCGGGGAAGGCAGATAAAGCGAAACTAAGCCGAGTAGCTTCACTTACTCCTGAAGTAGCTGCAAAACTCCAACAGGCGGTAAGTTTATGAGCAAGTCGAGTAAAAGGATTTTGGATTGATTTTTTTTTAGGAGGCTCAGAAAACTATGAAGTATTCTTACATAGACAAGTTAACGGAAAGTGAAGTTCCGAAAGATCCACTTATTTCGCCTATGTATGCCTCCTCTGAAATATTAAGACAGTTGCCTCCAATGCGTTTCTTGGTAATTCTTTCACACTTTTACCCTAAGCTTAAATATTTCCACATACTTATCTCAAAAAATGCTTTTTATACAGAAGAGGTAATCAAGACATTTTAGGCCTGTCATCTGGATCCGCTTTTGGATGACACTATCAGTTTTGCGGTAAGAGCTCGGGCCTGTGGCTCAACAATATCAAGCATTGATCTGGTAGATAGTTTACCCCATGGGTTCTTGAATTTTTCGTTGATTTCGCCAGAATGTCGTGAAGGATCTAAACTTTGCTTAAGAAGAATTAAAGAGCAATTTGGGATGACAGACATGACTCTTTTTTAAGATCTCTGATTAATATGTGGTATGACTTGTAATTTTTTAAATCGAAGCTGGTTAACTCGTAACTTTGAAATATTGTGATCCTGTAGTTCTCATGTAATGATAGTATTATTGGCCAAAATGCATTTTATAAAGATTTGAGATGTTTTCTTCTATTAGTTTGGTAAAGATTATATGTTTCTTTGATGTTACCTGTATTGTGATGTAATAACCTCATTCGTTTGAGCTTCATTTTTTATGATTACTTACTTAGAACTGAGTAGGTGATTTTGAAAAATCAAAGGTGGGTGCATTTTAATTCTAACATTTCATTTCAGCTCCAACCTTTCTTATCTATAAATTTTGATGACGTTGGATTTTGTATAATTGTTTTTGCAACTTTCAGCATC